GGTACTTGGGGAGCGGGGCTGGAGGGATCTGGGTTCGCGGCCCAGCTCAGCCACCATTGCCACCTCTCACCTTTGAGGGCCCTCGGAAAGCCCCAGCTCCTGGAGGCACGGGGGCGTCACCGCTTCCCGTTCAAAAAGGCAGAGGGAGTTCCCAGCCCTCGAGAGCGTGGAGAGAAGCTCAGAGAAAGGAGCTGAGGGGACCCCACAACTCAGCCGGTGGAAGGCCAGGTTCAGGTCTGAAATCTGGGGATGTTAAGCCAATCTCAGGGTTTTTGACTGAGTGTGGCTGGCGACCTGCTCTCCGCTGGTAGCACCCCAGCTCCCCCTCCACGCAATGGGGCGAGTTCTTCCCTGCCTCGCGGGGTGAAGCTGTTAACCAGCGGCAGGTGCTCACATTCTAGTGGCAAGGAGCCCCTTGCTAGCCACTGCCCAAAACTCCCCACCCCGCAAGCACCAGGCAAAGGAAACTGCACCGTAGGGGGGCTTTTTACTTCCCTGGGGGGAGCAGCGAGCACCTCCTTGAGCCAGACCTGCACTGGGGAGGAAGGCCAGCAGCTGAGGGATTTAATGCAAGGCCAGCTGTTCTCAGGCCTCTCGCTTTCAGAGCTCAGGGGTCGGGGAGTGGAGGTTCAGCTGAGCACGGGATTAAAGGACTGCACGTTCTTGGCTCCTCTCCCACCTGCTTTCACAAAGGGTAACCCTGTCCCAGGGGCCCCATTGTGTCCTACCAGCCCTATGAGCCATGGAAGGGGGCTAGCTGGACCTCCCCCTCCCCCCAGAGCTGCAGAAACCAGCCCGTTGAGCTCTCAGCCGTAAGTCACTGCCTAGCCTCTCCACCAAGGCAGTGTTCAGGCTGACAAGCCGCGCCCGCTGCCTTGCCAATGCACCAAGCACCATTTGGGCTCACGCGGCACCCGGCCCCTGTGCCTGCCAGCTCACCTCGCTGCTGCGGATTGAGGGGGTTCTGAAAACGTCAAGCGGCTCATAAGGAGAGAGCAGGTGTCTAGGAACCCAGATCCAACCCTCTGACCTCCACCCCAGCAGCCCACATCCGAGACAATCTTCCTCAGCCCCTGCTTTGAGAGCGCTTTAACCACCACTCCTTAGTAGGCCATGGGCAGGAGGTTTCTCTGCTAAGAGCTCTCCTCCCTCCAGCCCCCCTTCGCACCTGGCCTCAACCAGGTAAGGTGGCACCAGCCCGACCCTTGCTCAGAATCCTACAGTAGGTAAGCAGGGGCGGGAGCAGCGTTTTGGATAGGGGCACGGATTGATTTTGCTCCAGCAGGGTGGAGGGACAGGAGTTGAGCTTTACTCCGTCACCATTAAAGCAAGAGGGGCCTAAAACCAGTTTCTCTTCTCCGCCAGCAGCGACAGCCCCTTGGGGGTTGGCGGTGACAGCCCAACCAATGCCCAGCAGCAATCAATCCCGCACAGGTGGAAGCATGGCTGTGGTGTGTCAGACCACATTGAGAATCAGCACTGGGATGGCCCTGATTTTAGGGTGCTGTCTTTCCAGCACCCCTTACTCCCCCCCACCCCATGGGAGCACTAATCCTAGCCCGGACTCCGCTGACACCCAGCACTCAGACCAACCCCGTACAGAACAGCTGCTAAATAACAGACTAGGGTACTGCCCCCCTGCTATAAACACACCCCTGCACCCATCCTAGGTGCCGTGCTCACCCTCTTGGGAAGGGGCAGCGTCCCACGAGCTCCAGGAACTGGATGACCCATGCGAATCGTCTT